CCCAAAATGCAGGGTTTATAGGTGTGAGCCACAGCACCTGGCCTTTATTATTATTATTATATTTTTTAAAAGTTTTTTTTTTTTTAGAGACAGGGTCTCTCTGTCATCCAGGCTGGGGTGCAGTGGTACAATTATAGCTCACTACAGTCTCAAACTCCTGGGCTTAAGTGATTCTCTTACCTTAGCTTCCCAAGTAATTGAGACTACAGGTACATGCCACGCCTGGCTAATTTATTATTTTTTGTAGAGATGGAGTCTCACTATGTTTATTGATCTCAAACTCCTGGCCTCAAGCGATCTTCCTGCTTCAGCATTCTTCAAATGCTGAAATTACAGGCATGAGCCGCTACACCAAGCCTATTATTATTTGTAAATGACTGCTCTGGTTGCTGTTTTCCATTGTTTGGGTAGGGCAAAGCCAAGAGACCAGTAAGGAAATGACTAGAGTGGTCTAGGCCAGATAATATGGTTTGGAGTAGGGTGCATGGAAATATACAAATTTGTATCTTATTTGTGTATGTATATACAAATAATAGATTAAAAGGGATGGTCCTATTATATACAATAAATATATAATATGCAATGGATATACCTTTAGAGGAACATTTATTTTAAAATATACAAATCTCAGCAAACTAACACAGGAACAGAAAACCAAACACCACATGTTCTCACTCATAAGTGGGAGTTGAACACTGAGAACACATGGACAGAGAGAGTGGAACATCACACAACAGTGCCTGTCAGGGGGGTGGGAGGAAAGGGGAGGGAGGGCGTTAGGACAAATGCCTAATGCAAGCGGGGCTTAAAACCTGGATGACGGGTCGATGTGTGCCTCGAACCCCCTTGGCACATGTATACCTGTGTAGCAAGTCTTCACGTTCTGCACGTGTATCCCAGAACTTAAAAAAAACCATATATATATATCTGTATACACACACACACAGACACACACACACACACACACACACACACACACACACAAATAGATCAATGGATAAAAACAAAGCATTTATAAACAGAACTTAATATATGACAAAAGCGTATATTCCTACATTAGTGGCCCATAGTTTTTTCTGGTTTTACATTTTAATAATTGTTAGAGTAATATTTTCTCATTATTCTTTCATTTCAAAAATTTCAGTAGGCACGGTGGCTCATGCTTGTAATCCCAGCACTTTGGGAGGCCAAGGCAGGTGGATCACAAGGTCAGGAGTTTGAGATCAGCCTGATCAACATGGTGAAACCCTGTCTCTACTAAAAATACAAAAATTAGCCAGGCTTAGTGGCAAGTGCCTGTAACCCCAACTACTCAGGAGGCTGAAGCAGGAGAATTGCTTGAACCTGGGAGGTGGAGGTTGCAGTGAGCCGAGACTGCACCACTGCACTCCAGCCAGGGCAACAGAGCGAGACTCCATCTCAAGAAAAATAATAATAATAATAATTTCATGGGTATTTCCTGATACTTATTTATCAAGATAAGTTGTTTCTTCTCCTCCTCCTCCTCCTCCTGTCCTTTTCTCCTTCTTCTTCTTCTTTCTTCTTCTTCCTTCTTCTTTCTTCTTCTTCTTCTTCCTTCTACTTCTTCCTCCTTCTTCCTCCTCCTCCTCCCCCACCCACTTTCTTCTTCTTCGACAAGGTCTTGCTCTGTTGCCTAGGGTGGAGTGCAGTGTCGTGATTATAGCCTACTGCAGCCTCAAATTCCTGGGTTCCAGCAATCCTCCTACCACAGCCTCCCAAGTAGCTGGGACCACAGACACACACCACCTTACTTGGCTCATTTAAAAAAAAAATTTAGAGATGAGTCTCACTATGTTGCCCAGTCCAGTCTCAAACTCCTGGTCCCAAGCAATCCTCCCACCTCAGCCTCCCAAAATACTGGGATTACAGGCATTAGCCACCACACTTGGACCAATCAAGGTAAATTTTAAAATAATTTTGTCATGTTCCATCTCAACCCATCCCTCAAATCATATTGGTTCTTTGATCTGAATTTTACTAAATTTATCAAGTATGTTGGGGAGATATAGTATCTTTGCACTAGTGAGAATTCCTGCCCAGGGATTTGTTATATTTTTCCAATTATTAAGATCTTTTATGTCCTTCAGTCAGGTTTTACGGTTTGTTTCTACGGATCTTGACATTTGTTGTTAAGCATATGCCTAGCATATACCTTATAGTGTTCATTGCTAATGTGAATATGATTTTTTTCCATCATACTTTCTAAATGGAAATCACTGGTATTGAATGTTGTATTTGGGGATCTCTGTAAGTAATACCTCCCTCCCCATTCTGAGTTTGGAACAAACTAGGGCATGGACACAAGAAAGAGACACAGGACAAAAATATTACCTTAATTTTTGATGAAGCTGACCGGAAAAATTAGCTTTTGGTCTGTAGCTAAGTGGGCTTGCTATATTTCTCCCTGAATTGAGTAGATTTATTTCTACAGCGGCAGGTAGTGCAGGACAATAGTATCACTCTGTCCCTGAAACAGATTCACTTACCCCCTAGTGAGAGCACACGGAAATATCTGCTCTCTGCAGTCAGCCAAATCCAAATAGAGAATTCAGAAGCAACTGTTCTTGTCCAATCACTTTTTCCAAACTCACTAATCTTCCCTTAGTATGGAGAGAAGCCAGGAGTCTTATTCTAATGGAAGTTTCTCTATATGGAAAACAAGTCTTCTCTCTTCAGCACCATAAGACAGGATAAGAAAAAATAAAAGAAGAAGGCTTCTCCCTTAACATTTAGGAAAACCATTCATTTTGGTGTTTATCTTAAAATTGACCACCTTACCAAAGTCTCTGATTTTTAATTGATTCTTTTTTATTTTTATTTTTTGGGAAACAAAACATGAGCAAATAACGACAATTTTATCTCTTCCCTTCTAATATTTATATTTCTTATTTAGCTTTCTTATCTTATTGCATTGGCTTTATTCTATAGCCATTATAGCAGGCATCCTTTTGACTCCAACTTAAATGGGAATACCCTTAGTGTTTCACCATTAAATATGTTTGTTGATGGCTTCTGATAAACTTTGTCATGTTAAAAGTTTAAATTTTCTTTCTATAATAGTTTACTAAGAGTTTTTAAAAATTTATAAGTCATTTGTTTTGAAGTTTGTCATATACTTTTAAAGCATCCATCCCATTGATAATGTCCTGTAATTTGTTTTCCTTTAACAATGCAATGAATTTACAAATTCCCTAATGTTCAATTTTTCTTGCACTTCTGGAATAAATCTTGCTTGATCGTGGTGGGTTTTGAGTTCCCTTAATAGTAAACTGGATTCAAATTGCTATAATTTTATTTAATAGTTTTGTCACTACCATATACTTAAATGAGTTGATCTATAGCGGAGATTCACATATTGAAGACTAATCAGTGAGCTTTAGAAGGTGGTCCTGGCTCAGATGAGTTTGGGAAATGCCAGGTTAAACAAACCAAACAGGTTTCTTTACTCCTGGACTTTACAGAGACCTTCCTTAATATACCAACACTTAGTGTGATTCTCCAAAAAGTACACTATAAATGACGTGCAGCACCTTCTCAAGTTGTCTGCAGAAGCCCATTTTCAAAAAAACAAATATGAAATTCTCTGGGGACTCCTGTTCTAGGTTGGTCATCTGCAGTTCTTTTCAGTATTGTCTGCTGGATTTTAGTATCAGGGTTATGCTAAACTTGGGAAATGAAATAAACATTTTTGTTTCTTTTAATTTTTCCTGTGTAACAGTTTAAGTAACATAGGGATTATCTGTCCCCTGATGGGATGATAGGACTTGCTGTCAAGCCACCTGAACCCATGTCATTTCTGAGTAGTGAAGACACTGGGAATGCACCAGTGCATGGCTTCCCCACAGGATGTTTTCCCCCTGACAGTCCATTCTGCTTGGCACCCTTTTCTTTAGGATCAAACAGCTATTGTGGAAAAGCCAAGAATGTGTGAAAATGAGACTCAATGCATTAGAAAATCCATGCTGATCACTCCCACATGGTCCTCAGCTCCTGCTGAATGATGCAGCCTCCTGGCAAGAAATCTTTCAAATCTTGCACACGCTGGCCTCTGCCTGGGGTGCCTGGCTGGGGTGTGTGGGGCATGGTTGGTTCAGACACAGAGTCTGCCTTTCCTACCAGCTACTCTAGCTGAGGGTCAGGGTCTGGGCCCTCCCCCACCCATCCAGCTCCACTTTATCCTTGGCTTATGCCTTTCCCCAAGTATCACCTTCTAGATGCTCGCCTGAGGCTGGCCCCATACACCTGGCTCTAGGCCTCCAAGGATAAATCATTTAACCAGCATAAGAGGAAGCCCGATTATTGCCAGGAAATTGGGGTTAGCTTTAGACGACTGGCTGAGCTGAGGGTGGGTGGGGAGAAGATGAGCTTTGGATTCTAGGGTTCAGTGAAGCCTAGAATGGCTGAGTGGGCGGAGAGTCCCTAGAAGGGGCCAATTCCTAGCCTGAGGGCCTGGGGGCTTCCAGGGACGTGCAGCTGAGCTGAAGACTGGTCTTGGGTACAGCGAGGCCTACGAGAGCTAAGCGGGCTGAGGGTTCCAGGAAAAGACCAGTCTGCGGCCAGGGACCACCGATGCCCCAGGCTCCAGGGGCCGAGGGCTTCCGGGGGACTGAGGCTGGACTGGGGTCGCCGGCGGGCTCAAGGAGGCCCAGGTGGGCGCGCTGGGGCCCTGCCTGGTGCTGACGGGCTGGGCCGTGAGGGAGGCTGGGGAGGCGGGGTGCCGGCCGGGGCGGCGGCGCGGGCTCGGGACGCCAGGGCTCCCGCTCCCTCCTCCTGCCCGAGCCAGCCTCGGGCGCCAGGCGCCTCTCCCGAGCCTGAGCCAGCACCAGCGCCAGCGCCGGGAGACCTGGAGCCCGGCCTGCCGCCGCTGCGGCCCGCGGAGGGAGCCGCAGCCGCCGTCGTTGTTGCCGCCGCCGCCGCCGCCGCCGCCGCCGCCGCCAGGCCGCGCCCCGCCCCTCCGCCGCCGCCGCCGCCGCCGCCGCCGCTCCCGGTGAGGCTCGCGCTCGAGCTGCGGCGCCGGCTCCCGCCGCTTGGGCCTCGGGCCCGGCCCCTCCCGCGCCGCCCGGGCGATGAGAAGCTGCTTCTGCGTGAGACGGAGCCGGGACCCACCGCCGCCGCAGCCGCCGCCGCCGCCTCAGCGGGGAACAGTTAAGTGAGGCCCGCACGCCGCGAAGGCTCGGCCGAGCCGGCCGTGTAGCCGGGAGGGAGGGCGGGCGCGGGCCCCGGGCCGAGGGGCGGGCGGACGGGAGGAGCCGGGCCGCGCCGAGGCCTGCGGGCTCCGTGCCCGGCCCGCGGCGGGGACAGGCCCGGGCGGCCTTTGACGAGCCCTGAGCGCGCCGCGGCTGCCGGTGCCCGGGCTCGGCCTGGCGGCAGGAGGCGGGAGGAGCTGGGGGACCCGAGTGCCAGCAGCGCCCCCAGGGCCTGGGCAGGTGAGGGGCGCTGAGAGCCACCTCTGCGCGTGTGAGAGGGAGGCGGCCCACCGGGGCACAGACTGGGGACAGTCAGTCGTTTGACCCGCCTGGCCTGGGGTCCGGCTTTCTGTGGTCATGTGGGTGCAGACCTTCGTGCACCTGCCCCTGGGGCATCACTGCCTCTCTGACCTGGGCACAGCAGAGACGACACCTGAACCCTCGGGCACCTGTCTGCAAGGTGACATGCCCAGCCTGGGTACCCGAGACCCAGAGTACCCATGCAGGAACATGGTGGGCACTTCGAGCACCCTACAGTGAGTGACTCCAGCACCAGCGAGGGGGCAGGGGCCAGGACAAGAGCTGAGGCATGGCAGCAGCGGACATCACATCCTCAGAGGCAGGCACCGGGGAACGGGGTGGACCCAAGAGCATCTTTTATCCTCTTTGTTACCAAACACACAACTGTTCTAAATCACCAGTGCTTCTCACCATGAAAGATGAGACTCTTCTGTTTCCTGCCCCTCAACAGCCTCTTGCGCAAGGCACTGAGGAAGACCACAGGAGGGCAAAAGGCAAATGGCGGTCACCCCTTCCCTGCTCCCTGCCCCCACCCAAAACCAGAGCCCACTCCAATTGCTGCCACAAAAGCAGACAGCAGGCCGGCTCCTCTTAGGGGCCTTTGTCTCTCGTGGTTCCTTCTCAGTATAATCTCATTGCACATTTCTCGACAGCTGGCTAGATCTCATCTCGTTTTAACAGGGCTAGAAAATCTTATCAGCGGCACCAGCAAAGCTTAGAAAGTTAAAAGATAAGCTCTGTGAAGCCTGGACTAACTGAAAAACTCAGTGTACTAGGATGTTTAGTTACAGATGGTGACACCTTTCTTGCTCGTTGGAAATCATGTGAGGTACTTGGAGATATTGTACCACGCTTAGCATCTTTAAATAGTTAGGCCTCTGAGAGATGAGGCTTCTGCTTGGGACCCGGGCTCCTGGACCCATGGGAAGCAGTTGATATGGGGATTACTGGTTCATTTGAACCTGAACTTATCTTCTGTTATCTACATTTTTCACTCCTTCTAGGCTTTGAGTCACTCCTGATTCAGGCTCAAGGCATTTTCCTTGCCCTGTCTCCATCCTGCTAGGGATCTTTCACCACTTACAACTGGAATGTTGCACCATGGTTCTGTGCAGAGAGTTTATGATTAGATCTCAGCTTAAGTCTTGGCTTTCCTATTTACTGTGTGTGCTTGGACATATTGAACTTTTCTGGGTTTTAGTTTCCTCATCTGTAGAGTGAAACTGATGATAATATTCATCTCATGGGATTATGGTGAGATGTAAATGAAATATTGCAAGAAAGTTAGCTCAGTGCCTGCTACATGGCAAGAAGTCAGTAAACAGTAGCGGTTATTATGAGGCTTGTTAACAGATGAATGAGAGGAGTAGCTTATTTATTTATTTTTAGAGTTTGGTTTTTTTTTTTGGTTTTGTTTTGTTTTGTTTTTGATACAGGGTCTCACTGTCACCCAGCCTGGAGTGCGGTGGCACCGTCATGGCTCACTGAAGTCTTGAACTCCTGGGCTCAAGTGATTCTCCCACCTCAGCCTCCCAAGTAGTATAGGTGCCTGCCACCATGCTCAGCTATTTTTTAAATTATTATTATTTTTAGTAGAGATGGGGTCTTGCTATGTTGCCCAGGCTGGTCTTGAACACCAGAGCTCAAGTAATCCTCCTGCCTTGGCCTCCCAAATTGCTGGGATTACAGGTGTGAGCCACTAGGCGTGAGCCACCACACCTGGCCTATTATTTAGTCCTTAACAGGACAACCAGGAAGTGATGGTATAGTAGAAAGAACACTGGGCTTGGATTTTTTAGGGGCTTGAGTTTGACTCTCAGGCTATCTTCTGGACCCCAGGTGGCCCTAGGTAAGTCACACAACCTTTCTGAATCCCCATTTCCGTAATGTAAAAGTGTCTTAAGAATAAAGCCTACCCCATAAAGGTAATCAGTCAAGAGGCTGAATGAGCTAATGTATGTGATAGCACTTGGCACTGCAGGAGGTGGGGGTCTACATGAAACTTAAGTGCAGTTCAGCAGCCAGCAGCAGATCGAGTTTTTTTTCCCCAGGTCCGATGTTTATACAATTTGTTGGGGGGAGAGTTTTAAGAAAAAGAACACAAGAATATCCTGTGTTTGTACATGTTACAGAACTACGCCATGTGAGCACACTGCTGGATGCCCACTCAGGGCTTTGGAATGGGTGACGGAGAAGTGTAGTCTCCATCCATTTCATGGAGGATCTGCTTCTGGGGGAATCAGAATCCAAATGGCATAGGCCCCTCTGCCTTAGTTTGCTGGAAGTGCCCCATGCTCAAAGGGAGACACCCTTGCCACACTGCAAAATAATGATGGTGCTGGAGTAGAGCATGGGAAAAGTCGAAGGTGCTATTATGATGATGAAGATAGCAGATGACTACATGGTTGGATGTGGTTAGGCTGAGATAGCAGAGCCTCCTTTGCAGGTTGGGTTGTGGAGGGGAGGCCTGGGTTTCTTGAATGAGCTCTCTCTCCCCAGGGTGCTCTGGCTCTCACTGAGGACCGCCCTGGCCAGCATTTCCCTGGCCACGGCCCCCTCCAGGCTCTCCTTGGCCTTCTGCTCGCTGGGCTGCCCTTGGGAATCGTGGCTTCCCTGTGCTAGTTGGAGTGGGTTTGCCAGAGTTAGGTCTTCTGTGTCTAGCTGCCTGGGAGGCAAAGCCACTGCAAAGTATGCTTGACATTACCTCCCTTGTTGGGGACATCCTGTGGGCATGCATTTGGTTTACTTGACACGCTTCTGGCAAGATGCAGAGCCTGTCCAGGCAGAAATGTGAGAGCCCTGTGGGCCTGGAGCCTGGGGGTTGCACATAGCAGCTTTGTAGCTCGTATTTCCCTTAGGACTGGAGGGCTATCTTGTTGGACCTGTAGCTAGATTCAACACGAGTTTGTTCTTTCCTTCTTCAGACACACACACACACACACACACACACACACACACACACACACACTTAAATAGATTCTAATCAGCAGAGCAGAATGTTCAAAAGAATATCCTCTGATCCTAATAAATGAGCTCCTAATGCACTAAATATGCCTGTGGTGTTGATGAAAATGCAGATGCCAGGGCCTCATACTCAAACTTTATTGAATCAGAATTATCTGGGGAAGGGGACCTGGAATCTGCATGCTTAACAGACACCTGCGGTTACTTATGCTTGCCGAAATGAGAGACCTACAGTTCTAGATGCTTTCTAGAAAATTGTTAAATACACATAACATAAAATGTACCATCCTACTAATTTTTAAGGGCACCGACTGGTGGCATTACACACATTCACACTGTGGTGCAACTAAGCTCCAGAACTTTTCATCTTGCAAAACTGAAACTCTGTGCTCATTAAACAACTTTCCGTTTTCCCCTTTCCTCGCCCCTGGCAACGACCATTCTGCTTTGTGTTTCTGTGAGTGTGACTACCCAAGCTATTCATAGAAGTGGATCATACGGTATTTGTCTTTTTGTGACTGGATGATTTAGTTTAGCATACTGTCCTCAAGGTTCATCATATTGTAGCATGTTTCGGAATTTCCTTCCTTTTGAAGGCTGAATAGTATACCATTGAAGATGTGTACTGTATTTTGTTTATTCATCCATAGATGGATGCTTGGGTTGCTTCTGTCTTTGGGTGATTGTGAATGAAGTTGCTCTGAACATGGGTCTACAAATCTCTTTGAGACCCTGATCTAAATTATTTTGGGTGGATACCCAGAAGTGGAATTACTGGATCATATGGTAATTCTATTTATAATTTTTTGAGGAACCACTACACTGTTTTCCATAAAATGGTAGCTGTACCATTTTATATTCCCACCAGCTGTGTGCCAAAGTTTCCAATTGCTTCACATGCTTTCGAACAGTTATTTTGTTTGTACGTTTGTTTTTGGTAGTAGCCATTGGAATTAGTATAAGGTGATACGCAGTTTGGATTTGCATTTCCCTCATGGCAAGTGATGCTGAGCATCTTTTTGTGTGCTGGTTGGCTATTTGTATATTGTCTTTGGAAAGACTTGTTATTTAAATCCTTTGCCCATTTTTAACTTAAGAAATTTGTTTTTTGTTGTTGAGTTGCAGGAGTTCTTTATAGATTCACATATTAACCCCTCATCAGATATATGATTTGCAAATATTTTCTCCCATTCCATAGGTTGCCTTTTCACTCTGTTATTGCCTTTTGCTGCAAATTCTTGATGCTTTCTACACATTATAACCCTGTGGAAAATATTATTTGCTATTCCATTTTTATAGGGATGGAACCTCAGGCCTAGCTTAGTTTAACTTGCCTAAGGTTATGCAGTAAGCTCAGGTCCCTTGGACTCCAAACGTATCACCCCTTCCATTCCTCTGCTCTGCCTGATGTTCCCCCCCACAGAGCTAATAGCATATGGAGGCCCCATGGAGGTTGGAAGGAAGGGGCATTGGTTGGAGAATGTTTGGCTGTAGGAGAGGAAGCATGAACGGAAGGCCTGGGAATCTCTTCTGTTAGACCACTGGGGTGCTCCTTCCTGTAGTTTGATGGCATTGCTTAGATCTTAGAAATGGCAGAGAAGTGCAGCCAGGTTTTTTAGTTCAGTTTGATTGTGTTTTGTTTATTTGTTTTCTTAAGCATTTTATAAGCTTGTTTTAGATCCCGTCTGCTCCTT